TTCTGTATGAATCTACCGCTCCTGAAATCCCAAATCTCTGGCTCTGATTGCTTGATTTCGACGTGCAAAACATGCCTAGCAAGTAAATAGCTAAATTTAAGCTTCAAAGTTCACTGCTCGATAACCAACAAGTAATAATGGATAAACAGTTTAATGAAACCAAATAAGAAATTATATTCATTCATTCATCTTCCATGGCCGCTTCTCCCTTCGGGTCGCGGAGGCAGACGCGTGAGACAGTGCTTCCAACATTTCTGATCCTCAACCAGAGTCTGAGCTTCGGCAGAAGACAACTGTAGTCTGGACAACCAGAATCTATGCTATTACAGCACGTCACGGAAAAGGCTTCATGAGAACGACACCGCCAGTAGGAGCATGCAGTCGGAAATTGGAACATGTCTTCACTCAGAGGGAAAGGACAAGAGTTAGTCTATGAGGCCATAAGGAAATCTATTAAACATCAAGTATAGGCAAAGCAATAACTGATCCGATGGGAATCAGTTATGTATGAGGAACTGAATGTTCAACGAAAGGTGAGTTATCACAGAATTTAATTGATATAAATGATAGAATATTCCATTGCTCTTAATTGTTCACTGGCGCTCCGTAATCATAAGCTATAAATGACTACTGAACTGCCTCAAGGGTGTAAAAAGTTTACGGTTTAGCGAATGACAGACAATCGAAGCAGAATAACTAACGTTTAGTCTATTCGCCTGAAAGAAGTGCAGCGTTTCGACAGGGACAACGTCAGCTACAGTTTCTGTGATTTTTTTCAGCGTGTCTTTTTAATGTTTACATATTTGACCACATCGGGTTAAAGGCTTTGCATTAAAACCGGAACCGCACTGTTGCACACAGAATTGATTGAAATGGAGGTCTGTTGCTGTTTGGAAGTTCATTTAAGTTACACTCTCTATTTTCCCAACAGCAAAGCCAACGTGACGATAATTTGGATGAGTTTTTACTAGCCGGGCCTTCGGTCAACTTGAGTATCCACATCTGCATAAGAAATTTTAATAATGATGATGAAGAGCGGTAAAGATTTGCCGTTTTCATTCCGTATATTCAGAAGTCACATATGACATAAAGCTTAACTGTTTCACTGTTGGCTATTGGTCTTTATTTAACAAGACAAGCCGGCAAGTAACTTGCAAACCAATGACGGGGGAAATCTTCTATTGTTATGATGTCTTAGGGCGTGCATGCAAAAAATTACAAGATCGAAAATCATTCTCTCCATAATCATCATTAGCCAATTTTTATTGATCCAGAATGAAAGTTGCTGCAAGACTTTTTCACAGAACTCTGTTCCTTGCAACTCACGTCTGAGCTGAGGTAGCAAACTTTGCCATTTTGTCACGCAATTGTTCTGGAGATCTTCGTACGAGTCGTTTGCCCTTCGTAGAACTGTGTAAAGCATGTCGTTTATTTGGCGATAACCTATTCTTCTTGCAACAAGTACTGCTGATTGTCCATTCAAATTCATCTCTTCTGAAATGACATAGGAGACTGCTGCCTGTGCTACCATCCTTTCGTCCCTTATGATTTCGTTTTGTAATTCTCAACTTACGCCTTTTCACACTGCGTCTGGCACCTCGTAGCTTCCAAACAGTTTACGATGGCATGTTTCTCATGCCTACTTCAGTACTATTGCATGAGAAGACCGTTCGTTTCAAGAGCAAAGGCTGTTTTCAAAATAGGACTATTTCAATCATTCAAAGGTGATTGAATGAATCAAATTCAAATGGATCAAATTCAAAGATGAATCTTTTACCTTGATGTTGATATTGTAGACTTATTTCTCTCTTGCAGATGCCCTTTTCCCAGCTGGACGTAATTTTGTCCAATAAATTCAAGAGCATGAGGATACATGCATTTGCTGGACATGCCTGAGTCTTTCTCAGATTCATCCATTGACGAAAACGGTATACACGTTTGATCTATTTGATTTTTATAGAGATCATCCAGGAACGTTGTGAGGGTCAGATTAGGGGTGTCTCTCGATTGCCTGCTCCCTCCAAATATTTAACACAAATCCGGTACGCACTGAGTCGAAAGCCGTCGTATAGTCCACTTTGCGTACCACCGAAAGAAAATCGAGCTATTGAGTTTAATTCAATTCTGAATTATGCTTGCCCCTTTGGTCGTCCAGAATGCAGGTTTTCATGGAATGTTTTCATCAGCACCTTTGTGAAGATCCTTTAGAGGATCAGCAACAAACTGACCTCAGGCTTTTGTATAATGGAACTAATTTATGCTTAATTTGATATTGGAATTTGGTCTTGAAGGAATCGTTCGTTTTCTGACATACTCCAGCATACGAATATATTTTGATTTTTACCCGGTAGCACGTGAGGAATACCAGCTCCCGTACCATCGTTTGCAATGAGGGCGAGGTGTCCCTAAAGAAGAATATGCATGTGAGATGCATCTAGCTGCTGAACTACCGTGTGGCCCTTGCCTACTTAAATGGCCCCTAGGCAACAAGGAGCATGGTGGCAGTACATTACGCAGTAAAATATGGTCTTAAAGAAGTTATCCCCGTCCACCTGTTACATAGCGGATATTCCAATAAGGTGGTCCATTCTTCTCGAATTATTATTTTCGTCAAGCACCGTGTAAATGAACGCGCTAATAGCCTTAGTTCTTCGGAGATTCGTTCGGGCGTTAGTAGTCATACTGAAAACAGCGTAAAATATAGTTTATTTAAATAAAACGAAGACAGCATGGTCAATCAGATGATTTGCCAGTTTTTAAAACAAACGTACATAAATAAACCGTGTTTTGCACTGTTTTCGACAATCCTTCGTTTTCTGATTCACTATGTTACACAGCAATAACTTTTTCACCAATAGTTGTACGACTCCATCGCCTTAATGCATGCCTAAAACCGATTAAGTGCTCATTCATTAACTTTCTCAGATATAAAATAAGACTTCAGACGTAATTCACTGATGTAGTTGCGTTAGAAACAGGTGAAAAGGCGCCTGATACTGTAGATGCTTGGACCTTGCGGTGAGACCATAAACCTCATGTCGGAACTCCAAGCCAGTCGCTACCTCGTTTCCGTGCTAAGGTCTGCGAAGCTGGTCGTCAGCGATTGGTCGGTCGGTTCTTTCAGCGAAACAGGAACGTGGGTAAAAAGTCTTAGAGCAAACTTTTAACGGCCCTCGGGTTAGCGGCAGCGGTGAAAAACAGCACCAGCAGCTGCCTTGCGCCGAAACAACAGTAAGAATAATTGAGGTAGTAAGTGGGCGATGGCAACGGCGGCAGCGACGGCGCTACCGCCTCGGAGTACGTTGAGGATCTCCGGAGCTTAAGACTCATCGACGAGGCGTCAAGCTTAATTTTGGCCAGCCCAGACACTGGCAGCGGCGTCGAACTGAAGGGCGATGAGGCTCGTTTAAACGGCTGCTGATTTATGTAGAATAACGGCGAGTTTAAAATAGCACAACCATGCCAAACAATGCACACTTGCCCCTTAAACGAGTTCATTTCTGCCACGAGTTTTGCCACATGCTTAAAAGAGGCCTGAAATTGCTCTTTTCGTAGAGACCCAGCAAAGCATAGGTGAATGCTATGTTGTGGTGTGTTTGTCGCAAGCTTCATGTCGGGCCGTTTGCACAAGCAGAGTGCTACTGGCTTGTGACGTCCGCTGGATTCGTAGTTCCTCAGTACTGTGATATAAGGCTCTGCTCGCCGCATCGTAAAAGGAAATATCCATCGTCAATAGCGAATCTGTCTCTGCATTATTCTTCCACGTTGCATGCTGTCCCCGGGTCGACATTTTTCGTGTTTTGACCTCCACAGGAGAAGCTCATGAGATTTAATAAATGATTTATGCTTAAACCAGTTTCTTAAGCAGGGTCAACCTCCTTACCTCAATCTTCACACCAATTGAGGTCACCTATAACCGAAAGAGAATAGAGCCTTTCCTTATGTGGCCCCAACATTAAACCCTAATTATGTTTGAAGGTAACCCTGTTTACGTAGTTCAACCGTCATTCATGCTCCTTCATCGGAACAGCTTTCTCCATGCCGTACAACAGCACTGACCTGAAAAAGGCATGGAAGAAGTGGATTTGTGCAGAAAGACTCCTTACTCAGCCCAAATATTTGACGGATGACCAAAAGCGAGAGGATGCTTCTATTTAATTCTGGCTGCATGGTAGCATCGTTAGAGTTGATAGAACCATCAAGATTAAATTGGTCAGCCTGTTGAGGTGTTTCACATTCCTGTTAGTTCTGTAAATCAGCTGGGCTGAATGGGCTCCTCACACTCCTTTAGACTTCCGGGAGTTAAGAAAGAGGCCTGCCTTCGCAGCTGTCGCACACTAAAGCCATCAAATTACAGATGCCTCATAGCGAGCTCCTCGCCAGAACAAAATAATCTGCGTACTCCATGTCAGCAAGTAATTTAGTCAGATATCCTGAACCAAGAATTCCCTGTACAACCAGACCCTTGAACAATACTTCTACCAGTCCAAGGATTTTTTCTCTGCAGTCATTGCAGTTTCACAGAAACCTGTTAGCCACTGCATGCTTTGTTAACATGAAGCTTCTCAAAGCGGATTTCATCTGTTCCAGCGCCTTGCCACTTTTCAAGCGTTTTACAGCTTCCGCGATTTAATCTATTGAATGATTAATATTCGTTCTTTAGCGCTCATTAAGTGAATCTTCTTGCCCTTCCTACTGGCTAAGAAGTTCCTCAAGGTACTTTCGTCACCGACGGAGTATATCACCTCCTCCTGTCCATCCAGTCCCGGAAATGCGGTTTTGCCTCCCATACATCACAGGTGCCGAGGTCTTCTTAAATGGTCTGTCTACGTGACTGAAGGCAGAGGGGCGGCGGGTTTACGTCGAGTATATGCAGTATCAGAAGTTTAAATTTTACGACTACCGGTGGAACTGGAAAGCTGCTGTGTGATACGCACGCTAGAACATCAGGATTTGTGTTGTCCATCGTAAAACAACTGACCACAACCTAAATTTTACATACAAAGAATCGACTAGTCCAACAACAAAGTTTTGCAGTTTATTGAGGCAGCGGGAAAAATCGATTTGTTGTGAACCTTATTATTTCCTACTTCCTGGTTTTTAACCCAAGGAAGGACGCTTTCGACTAATCCATATTGTGTTATTTCATATTAAACTTCTTTATAGCCGCTGTTAATGGTTCGTCGATTTAACCTGTATTTTCACCTTTTGGCTTTTTGGGGCGAATTTCAATGGAACACGACAAAACGGCGTCAAATTCGAAACGGGATTTCGCAGCACTTGCCTATTTAATACAGAAAAATGCTGTTCGAACGACTTCCTACTTTTTTTAGTGTCTAAATTGTCCAGAACCTCCTAGAGAGGTGCTTTGACAGCTTACCAGCTGCTCGATACTTTCACTCACCGCTGTGTGATCATTCGCACAAATGTACCTCTCTACGCACAGCAGAGCTCCTGGTTAGACGTTCATTAGGCAGGTCGTTGATTTTGTCATAAACGGGGCTGTTATTAAGTTAAACGAGAATTTTCTTCTTGATCCTGTGTAATATAATTGCGCTACAGACAACTTCAGAGTAGGCAACAGGAAGAAACTTTTTCTGCGACCTATGCTATGTACAACGAAGCATTCCGCAAGTCATCAACCCCTTTGCCACCTGATTTTCAATCACATGGAGAAAGATATTCGATTGTAGGAAGCAATCCTACATAAGAATTCTGCTCCGCATCTGCAGCCGTGGTGAACTGTCTATTTGTCGTAAATTTTATTCGTTCTTTGCTGTATTTATCATGCCCAAAGATGTAGTAATTCCCAAAGTCAACCAAAGTCAATAGTTCTGCTATTTAGATTCTTTTCCTCTGTTGTTCCTTTTCCTTTTGTCCTTTTCCATTTCATTCTTGTTCTTCTTTCCTCATTATTTTCGTTTTCCTATCTTTATTTTGTTCTCATTCTCGTTCACCCCCCCCTCAGCTTCTCATTTTTTACTCCATTTCCTCCTCTTCATCATTTACAACAGGGTTTAGTCAAATATGTCCATGGAAAGTTAGGAAATTTGTTAACTTTGAATTGAATTTTATTCCCGAATGCAACTACACGTTTCGTTTTGTAATACAGCACAGTGATTGCTTTTATTCCTAGCTACCAACTTCCTCGCTAATGGATTAGGTACCTGAAAGCCAACAAGCTTTTACCTTCCGGGTTTCTAAGGGGAAATATTCTAGCGGCTTTCCCTGGCATTCGCACAGATGTTTATTTGCAGAGAATATACGTCTTAGTAGCTCATAAAGCGCACCATCTTCGAATTGATGAAATGTTTATGTTCGCGTGCTGATCCATGTTATGACTCGACTTCCGCGATATGTATTTACTTTCGGAATCATGCGAAGTTGTCTAAAGAATTATCTTATCGTACCCATTGAAAAATAGAGGGCCCCCTCCTGTGGGTTGAGATGCTGAGACCTGGCATTGGTCAATGAACCCCATCGCGACCAAGAGCTCACCAAGCGCCTCCCTACTGAACATCGATCAGCTAGTCGAAGGACGTGGGAGACGAAATTCATATTTCATTAAGGTTGGAATCCTGAAAGAACTCTCTAAGAAACTTGCCAAAACACGCTATGAGTAGATAAATAACGGGGCCGTAGGTACAGACTACCACCACAGCTTGCCAAAACAGGACTCTATGATTGTCAGGTTGCGACTGGCACACGAGAAAGTATATCTTGAAGATGTTCATGGCCAGTCATAGCACCAGAACTCTGTAGTCAGACGCGTACACAACCGAGGCGAACAAGAACAAGGCAGATATTCTCGGCATATGTGAAACCTGAAGATCCGCCGAGCTTATCCTTCAGTGGAGCAACGGCGATCAAATATCCTTCGTGAAAGCGTACGAAAACCAACCTCAAACAGGCGGTTTAGGATTGATCGTAAGGAAGAGAGCTGTATCGCTCACAGTCAGCTGTGACCTCATGTCATCCCCTGTCCTCGTAGTGATTCTACGGGAACATCACTAAAGATTATCAAAGTGCATAGCACGTCCATGCATACAATCGTCTAAGGAAAATTCAATGCCATGGTAGGAAAGGAGTCAATTGAAGCAGGGCGTTGGCGTTTCATCGGTCGATTTGGAAACGGAGCGTTAAACGAAGGCGGCTCCCGCCTCGCAACGTTTGCCGAAAGTAGCCGCCGCCACAAAATGATCATCATGTTTCAAAGAACCGAGAAATTTACCTAAAGGAACCCTACTGGTACGAACCTTAACCAAACAGACTACGTGCTGACAGACATATGGCGGGTAGTAACGTAGGTATGCCTGTAATTTCAGAAAACATCGTCTGCACGGGGTCAGGCTACAGAATACTCCACTCCACAGTCATAATCGATGTCGTTTAAGTAAACTGGACTAGAAGGACTAAAAGACCATTGGTCACCACTGGTCACTGGACGAATATTCGATCCTGAAGCTTTCGCAGACAAATTTTCTCGGCTGAAAAAAAAATAGACATCAGCACCTCATCGATGTCAATAAAACTGCCACCCGGTTATCCAGCCGAGTAGCACTGCCAACGAGGAAACGACACAAGAACTCAGTAGCGAGGCAGCCGTTAGCCAAAAGAGCAAGAATGAAGGCTCGTGAACAAGTGGATGAAAAATACACTGCGTTGAATACACGTATTTACAATACATCGATCGACTTTGGTAGAACGATTTCTCCTTGACAGTCA